GCCGAAGATGATTTCCAAGGCTCCCTTCTGCATTTTCTCAAAATATTGCGCCTGCTTGGCAGCGTGTCCCGCATGAAAAACCAGCGCACAGTATACACCAATTATCAATGTCGTTGCAAGCAATGGAGCTTCTGGGCCTTACCGTGCTGTAAATACAACAGCTTGCGATACTTCCTTAGGAGTAAACAAACGATCCGAATGGCAAATTCGTTAATTGCGTTATGTCCATTACGGAAGGTTGATTGGGGACCGAGTTGTCAGACATGTAAGATGCAGTGCGCTGGAGCAGTCATCCTAGCACACACTGGCGGGATTGACGGCCTCAGCAACTCAGCTCGTTGCAAAGCTGCGATAGTACGGACTATGCGTACACAAATGAAGACGGGCAGTGATAATGAAGAAGTAAGAGCAATAGAATAAGGCGCACGAGTCTCATGACATGGATCACATTCCGGACGTTTATCTCAATTCGTCCTGCTGTATGCATATAGTAGGTGATTCCAGTGATGAGTGCTGCCTATGAAGTTGTCCAATGGTTAACTAATAAACTTCATCAACAATCCTCAACTCCTAAAACAACCTTCAAGATCTGGGTCACAGAAGATCAAATATTAAAGTTCACAGCAAATGAGCTCTTGCAAATTTTACTTGATGACCCCAATTCATCTGCATCCGTTAACGATGACTGAAATGACATTTAACTCGGCCCTGCCTGGATGGTTTCTCCTCTGCGATCGCCTGGAAAAGGTCAAAAGCATCCCCTGCCTCCCTGGTATGCCAGGGTTTGACAGGCGGGCCGAAAAAATTCAAGCACCAATCAATGTGCCAGGTACCAGTGAAAGACTCCGGTCAAGCACACTCAGGAATTTGGAGCTGACATTAATCATGCAGCCGATGATGTCAGCAACCTCGTGACATGCCTCAAGGAATGCGTGAATCTTGTCACGGCTTCAGGGCTCGCTAGCTGGCGTCATGATGGTCACGTAGGCTTGAAATTGCTCCCAAGTGAAGGAATGTGCCCTTGCTCTTCCTTGCAATACCATGATGTTACAAAGGTTAAACCTTACAATCACGTCAGGTTAAGGTCATGCAAGGTCAATGATATAGCTTGTCAATTGCTCTGTTTAAGATCATGTCGGGCCTAAGTCACGTCAGCTTGAGCTTAGGTCACCCCATTTGTCCTTATTCATCTGCTCTTTGTCAGGTGGTCACTGGTTGAAGGAAATATGCCGCTTTTGGAGACTTTGTTGCAAACATCATATATGACGTAGATAGCTCACTTGTATCTACGGACATGCTTTTAAGCGCAAAAGACTGTTCCAGACAACAAAGCTTCACTATTGAGTTAATACGATGCATTTGCATTCTCGATAACGGCGTTTTTCTGAAGTTATTCAACGTACAGCCTCATCTGGGTCATAGCTAGTAAAAGTACTGAAATGTTTGTATTATGTTTCACAAAACGCGGTTCGAGTATGAAACTTGCATTAAATATTTTGAGCTGGCTGCAAGCCAACCGCTGTCCGTTGATATAGCGATTCGTACTGACGTGCTTCAGACACAAACAAGCTGTTGACTCTTTTTGTCTTGACCTTGAACACAATACGGCCATTGATGAAGTTGAATTCGTGTGACGTTTCAATGAAATCATATATTTCGTGGTGTCAGAATAGGCGGTACGAAAAAGTAGGCACAAATTTACTCCTAGCCCAGAAAGAAGAGTATTCGAAGTCTTAAGAAGAGCATAACTATGCACTGCAGGGAATGGTCTTTAAGTAGCCGCATCAGTTAAAAACCACATACAACTGTGTAACAGGCCCTTAACGATTAAATTCAACGTAGCGAGTCATATAAATCAGCAAAAGCAATCCTAGTTTTTGCAGCGGCCGATTTCGCGGTCGAACAGGAACTACGAAGAATGTGTTTTAAGGGATGCCAACGTCGCTATCATAGCAGGTCATGTGAAGGCCTAGTTTTATTATAAGACTGCCTACAAATACCCATTGCGAGGATATGAAAACATTGAATGATTTAAAAGTGCTGTGCTTTAACGTCATAGGAAGGTCCTTCAGATCTGGCAAGAATATTATGTGACTCTGTTTAGCACTGTTTCGCCCTGCATGACCTCCAAAGATGAAGATAAGTAAATTCTCACATTTTCGACAGAATGCCAACATTGTCAAATGTGGCAAGGCCATCAAAGCACGCAAAGGCTAATCAACCCGATGCCCAGCATGTAAAAACATTTGAGTTTTGCTCAAATGTTCTCCCACAAAATTTCCCCACAAAATTGCATCGCTCCATGCGTAGCATTCATGCACGATTGATCTAGATGTGAATTGGGTGGGTCGTTGTTCCCAAATGATCCCCAAGTATCTCACATATCTCCGTGTATGTAAAGTCGTATTACGAATCCTGAGAAGGACGCGGCTTAAGATTTTGGAAAAAGTCTGTACCTCACACAATTTCAAACGTATTGCATACGGACGAGCAATGAATATTTCACCATAAGAATACTCTAGTATCCTCCTCCTCCCCCCCCCCCCATCCCTCTTCACTGAGCTACTTTTCTCTATGACCGCGCTTTAGAGCAGCCAAGTCTGGAGAACGCCCCAGGTTCACCAAACAGCCCCATCGCTACCCGCTAACCATCCCCGCATCTGCCTGCCGTACAATAATGGGAAAAGCCCCGCTGATTAATATTTGCATTCGTATTGGCCTGCGGGCGACGGCCATCCGGCGGGCAGAGGCGTGCCAAACGAGCCTACGCCACACGACCGGGTTCGCCGAACCAATTCCGCAGCGATCGGGGCCAGTGACGGTCGGGCGGCGCCTCCTGACGTGGTGGCAGCTGCTGGCCGGCGGCCTCCCGACAACGGCTCCCGCCAGGTCACGCGGCGCCCTTTTGACCGACCCCGTGTCACGTCAAGCGTTAAACGCCGCCGACCGGCCGGCCTCGAGGCGTAATTGATCGGCTGGAAATAACTGGGCAGCGTCCGCCCGTTGACTTCCAAAACAGCTCGCGCAGAGACAGAGTCGTACGGCGGCCGGGGCGGCCGGCTCGTCGGGATCCTCGGCCGAATCCGTCGCCTCTGCCGCATCGGCCTTCCGAGCCGTTTCAGCTGATGACCTGGTCCGACCCTTTCGGCCCGCCCAGCCGGCCCGGCTGGGTCCGACCTTTCCTGGCGCTCCGTCCCAGTAGCATCCGCTTCTGTCTGGACCCTCCGACGCCGGGATCGTCCGCAGCAGCGGGATCTCCGCCGTCTTGATCGCCGGTGCCGAACTCGGCGCGTTATTGGCGAAGTTTGATGACGTCATGCTTATGCTCGTTCTTCTGGTGCTCTTGTTAGCGGACGCGGTGAATAATGAAGTGAATTTTGTTGGGATTGTGCAAGGCAGTGATAGCTTAACCAGCCTACATCCAGCGACACATATGCACTTAGTGATGTGAATAATGAAGTGAACGCGGTGAATACGCGCCACGCGGTGAATAATGAAGTGAATTTTGTTGGGATTGTGCAAGGCAGTGATAGCTTAACCAGCCTATATCCAACGACACATATGCACTTAGTGATTAAGGTAGTGATTCATAGCTACACAAGAACTGCGTAAGTTGTCAAGTGCATTTGCGAGGAACATTATACGTATAGATACGACGGTATTGACAGCCTTATTCCTCATAAGATAAACATGAGAATTAAGAGATAGATACGATATTTCGGCTATATGGCTTTACCGAAAGGAAATCAGTAGTAAATTGAAACTTGCCTTTATCCTCGGCGTTGCGCCTTGTTTCGTCTATTATTGCCTCGGCCTCGCCGGCAGAGGCAATGTTGAATTTACTACTGACATTCGTTTCGGTAAAGGTATGTAGCCAGCACATTATATTTATCTATCCATTCTCGTGTTTATTCTACGAGGAATAATGTTGTTAATCCTGTCCTATAATCACGCAAGGATCGTTGGATTAGCTTCCATAACGGAGGTTTTACTCGCACCTTTACCATATCAGGGGCAACGTTGCTTTTGTTGTCACTGTTGATAAATATTTGCCTCAGGGTCAATCCGCCACATCTAACTAACACATGAATATCATCCTCCATAGCCGTAGAGCTGGGCCATGCCATTATGAGGTTACTGGTGTCAAGGTCCTTCCTTAACATGAAGAGGTACCTAGCGTCATAGTAACTCCAGTCAACTCCTACTCCCGAGCGGTGTTTCCCCGCGTATCTCAGCATGCAATGTCCACTCGTCTCGGCCCTCTTGGGTGAACATCCGTCGCTTCGCGTCGTGGACATCCGAGAGACCCTCGCTATGGTCCGCGGCTCGCGGCGCTGGGGTGGCAGCCACGTGTTCTCCAGCGGCACGAGAACGGGCCGAGGCCCACATAACCGGTGCCGGTGGAGTGGCCCAGACCGCGTGACGAATTGTCGGCCGTCAGTAGGGGCGCGCACTACAAATGCCACCGGTGGCAGCGTGGCGAGCTCTTCGCTGCGGGTGTGAAAAATGACTGGCGTGGGCTATCCGGATGAAATCGATGGCTTCAGAGAGCCCGCGTCCGCCATTCCAGCACCTGATAAAGGCTACGTCTTGAGCCAACCAACACAGGACGCCGCCGATGACTTTCCGGAGAAAGTCACGGAGGCCGATAAACTGATACGTGGATGGATATGGCCCAATATTAGTGGCATCCATTGGATGTGGAGCTGCTCGTGGTTTACGAATTGTCATGTGCGCGAATCCGGAGACCTTTTGCGAAGCGTTGAAACCTGACATACCACCAGGTGCTATTAGTTATCTCGAGTATGGGTGGTGGACAGGCCCGCATCAGGTGACTTCACATCTTGAATATTTCGAACGTGAATGGCGCTTCTACCTCTTCTTACCCGCTGACTGTCCCATGGCCATGTTCCAAGGCCTACATAACTTTTAAGTTGCATCTGTTTTTGGCACACCACAATGCAGCAATATTAATGCCCCACTGTCTCCCCACGTTTTAGATCATCACTTCTCAGCAAGTCCAACGGAAGAAAGGCGGCGGCGAGCTCCCCAGTACTCACCCCGAACAGTCACCGCGCTTTTAAGAAGACCCCACCGCCACAGAACAAAGGAGAAGACGTGATGAAGGCGCGAAAACAGGTCGGTCTGGCGCTGGCGGAGAGGTTGTAGGACTTACAGACGGCCGTCGTGCTCCCAGTCTGAACAAGGAGCCACTTCCAGCGGACCTAACCAATGGCAACGTGACTCTTAAAACAAACTTGGAGCTGCTCGTGAGCGTGGTGATGTGACCCGGTGCGTTGTTTGAAGGATGTTTTCCTGTTTTATTCCTCTTAGCTACTATGTGCTAATTGTGTAAGGTCTTGTGCTTGACGTAGGATGTAATTCTATTTCACTTTCCTGACTGCGAAGTTGTTTTATTTTACGTTCCTGACACGACACATGGCTTTATGTTATATGGCGCGGACCTGTGAATGGCCACGTTATGTATGGGTTGGTCGTAGCAGTAAAACAAGCAAACCAATGGTGAGAAAAAGAACACTCCTAGGAAGACAGTTAGATGTTTAGGATCTAAGAAAACAAACGGCATTGTGTGCAATGCACTGAACGCCAAGAACTTTTGCTGCGCAAAGAAGTACCTGGTCACCTCTGTAAATACAGGCGGGATGTCGAGCAGCTGGATGTATGGTCACAGACCACTTGTGAGGAATGTCGAACCCCTTTGAGTAGAAGAGCTCTTACCCTCTTTTACTTGTGCATCCCTCATTTGCGGTTTCGTGCACTCCCTGCTGCCTGCTGTTTTGAAATGGGCACGGACGTATTTTAAGAAACGCTATCATTCTTGCATTTGGTCACATTGTTAACACTTATGAGCATTTTATTTATAAATGACAAAGTTATTATTTACTCATGCATGCTCTACTTGCCAAGACTTTCTGAGATGTATTTTGGCATGCACTTTTGCTCATGCTTAAGGCAATCACAGCCTGCTGCGTAATTTAGAACGCAACATTTAAAATGTATGCATCGTCGGCGGCCAGAAACGTGGATGTCATTGCAGTGACTGACAGTCCCGTCATGGTGATCGATATTCGTACAGTGATGGCATGCGCAACTCCCCAATGACCGAGCCGTCAATGAGGCTTGGCGGACGTGGCTCAGGGCATCGGCCAGCGGGGATTCGCCGTGAACGCGTCAGCCGGGTCAGTTGTCAGTCAGCGGGGTCAGCCGGGTCAGTTATCAGTCAGCGGGGTCAGCCGGGTCAGTTGTCAGTCAGCGGGGTCA